TGCGTATGCGGCGGATCATTCAGCGGGCCGTCCTTAGCTGGCCCGGTATTCAACGGGCCGTGCTCAGCGGGCCCGGTATTCAGCGGGCCGTCCTCAGCGGGCCCGGTATTCAACGGGTTGTCCTCAGCGGGCCCGGTATTCAGCGGGCCGTGCTCAGCGGGCCCGGTATTCAGCGGGCCGTCCTCAACCGGCCCGGTATTCTGCGCATGCAAGCCCACCGCTCGGCAGCGGTGTCTACGTGAGCTATAAAAACTTGGACTTACAAATAAAGAAATATGTACGAATCGCTGACGCAATGGAAATAAGCCGACTACTGGCAAAAAGCAGCGTGTTTCCTCGCGATATGTGCAATGGGTCTCGGAGTCTTTCTGAATTTGGAGAACACAAGCAGCCGTAAAGATTGAAGTGCCGCACAATACGCGGAAAGCTTATAAATGCAGGACCCTCAAGAGTCACCAGCGTAAATTAATGTTTCTGGCAGCAAAAATGGATGCACTGTTTTTCCACTCCAGGATAATTTCCAAGGATAATTATGGATAAGCCAAAGTTTCAGCCACGCCCTGTGCAAAAAATCGTCCATAATTTCAGGTATTCGTTCCTCGGCTGTCAATAAAATGGCAGCTGGTCGACCGGTGCCGGCTGTAATGGGCGGGGGGGGGGGGGAGAGGGGGAGAGTGGTTGCCATTACTCTACAAGACGACGGGAAGGTGGAATTTCGTTTTCGAGCTTGGTTTCCCACGACGCTGAGCCCCCCCCCCCCCGCCCTATGCGCCAGCTGCCTCCAATATCCAGTGCTGACATGCCTTTTGATCGATCCGCTGTTTTCCGAGGATTCGTGGCATGTCCACTAGTTAAGTGGGGCCTGTCCATGCCCCAGTGGGATGAAATAAATATGTGCCTGACAAGACTAACCAAAAAATCAAAACGCGTGACACAATTCGAGGCTGCCAGATACGCATTATTGTCTGGCAGCACTGCTGCAGCACATTGCTGCCCTTCGCAACCGGCGTGTGGGGAAGCAACACAGGCTGCGCTGTTGCCCATGCTATTTCAGGTGCTCACGTGCGCTGAGCCAGACCCTATGGACTGTGACTGCACAAGGGGTGGGAGACGTCATCATGGTGTCGTGGTGTGTGCATGCACGGACGTATAAATGCGTACTTGCTCATACGTACGCATGCGTACACTTACATATCCTTCACATAGTTGATCTTATGTAGAATGTCAGTGTTGTGCTCAGCTAGCTGGCCAGACTCGTGCAGGAGGTCATCATTAGCAGCCACGCCGTGCTGATACAATGTGCAGTGCCACCTCATTGTGAACATGTACGATTTTTAGATGGAATGTCGCTTTTGCCTAGCTATTATGTCAAATGCTCCAGTAACTCAAAGAGAGCAATGCTTTTTTATTTATCAACATTTGCGATATATTTTCGATTTATTGATGTTCATCGTCAAAACGAAATATATGATAAGTATATAGTAAAACCTCTGAGGTTTCTGCAATACCTTGCGAGCAATTTGTGAGGTAAACCAAATTATCAATTCATCTCAGGTGATTAATTTGATGCTTACTGGATCACACATGTTTTGTATGTGAATCCAGGTCATTCAGCTATGACGTCATTCGTGCAGGCTTGCTTGCCGCCATTTGTGCCATGCCATGCAGCATTAGATATATTTCATCGACTAGTTGGACTGCCTAGTGTCTGCCACAAAATGTCAGGATAATTGTGTCGTCACTACCATATGCCTGCCATTACTCTCTGCACACAATGTCGGGAGCAAGTCACACTACACCAGGTCACATTAGATCACAGCTGGAGGTCATGTGAGGCCGTCTTGCAACAGTGACCGAACCGGTGACTTGTTTGGCCGCGTAAAACCAAAAGGGAAAGTTATCCCTGATTAGGCTTTATGGCCTTGACCTTTGTTGACATTGATATGCTTGTAAGGCACGAAAACGTTTCGTGTACGCTATAAAGTTGTACGCCCCTCTTTCCGAGTACCAGATAGCCGTATTGTTCTCATGTTTTCATGATTTTGAATGTGTTATGCGTGATATGCGAGGCCACCAATGACGTGACAACTGTCTGTTCAATGACTCTTGGGTGAGACCGACCCCAACGACCTCTGTTTGTCCAAATGCTGCTCGCATTTGTCCAATCATAGGATTAAATAGCGCGAGGAGGCCTTCAATCCTGTCGTTTGCGGTCACGGGTGGCGGAATAACTCAGGCGGCGTTGGGTTGGCATGCGCTCGGGTGGCCGGTTGAATACGACGCAGTCGGGTGGAGGGGTCGATTCCCCGTCCGATATACCTCACCTAAGAGAGCCCGGGGTACCAAATTCACGCAGTAGGTTGGGCTCTATAAGGTACGTAATGTAAAATTTGTATGCCTCTGGGTCGTGGCCGTCGAGTTAATTGAGGTCAAACAATGTGGGACTCCAAGGCAGTCTTGGTAGTGGCCTCAGACCTACTCACCCGAACAACTTGAATCTAGATATCTTCTCCAAGAAAAAAGGTCGGACAATCTCATTTAAGGTCAGTGGCCTCATCTCAACTTGAAAAATTCAAAGTGACACGATAGTTTTTGAGGTCATTGTGGTAATTGAGTGTAACGTCATCGTCTCGAGCCTCCGCTCATGAAAAATATTTCCAGGTCAAACGTTCATCAAGGTCCTTTTAGGTCGGTAATCTTTCCTGACCCTCATCAAGGCAGCATAAAGGCTTCAAACTATAAGGCTTTAATTCATCAAGTTTTCACACACATCAAGGATTCATACCCAACCCAACGATCAATGACTTAGTTCTTATCCTAATTTTGAGTTTTGATTGCTTAGTAAACCATTTCAAAGTTGCATGACTTCCTTTCAGGCTCCGTTGTCCTCGCTGTTTGAAAGGTTTCCGAAGCTTTGACCGGTCACAGATCAGTGACTTTGCAATATTTATCTTATGTTACACCCAAGATCGGCTATTCGGTGTTCTGCACCCATCTAAAGTTTGACGTCGCCTCGTCGTACCGCTCGAACTTGTTATAAAAAAAAAACAGAAGAGGACGGTCACATTAATGCTCCCTCCGCACCCGGACGAGCACGAGCGCAAACATTGCGCTCCTGTACCGATCTCACTTCCGTCCCACTAGACAGGTCGTCTGCATTCTGAATGCCGCACGAAAACCCTGCCAGCGCTGGGTGGGTCACGGAGCCCCGGGCGGTGTTACGTCACCTGCAGCCGCGCCGAGTGTAGCCTATCACGAGCATCGCCCCCAGCGGCGAGTCGCGGGTCACGCGAGGCCGGCGGGTGGGACATCCAGCCGCGCCACACCGGCTGACAGGGGTGAGACACTGACCCAGCCGCGCCGCACTAGCTGACAGGGGTGAGACACTGACCCAGCCGCGCCGCACCGGCTGACAGGGGTGAGATACTGACCTGACCGCGCTACACTGGCCGGCCGGCCGACAGGGGTGAGACACTGACCCCAGCCGCGCCACACCGGCTGACAGGGGTGAGATACTGACCTAACCGCGCCACACTGGCCGGCCGGCCGACAGGGGTGAGGCACTGACCCAGCCGCGCCGCACCGGCTGACAGGGGTGAGGCGCTGACCCAGCCGTGTCACACCGGCTGACAGGGGTGAGATACTGACCTAACCGCGCCACACTGGCCGGCCGGCCGACAGGGGTGAAACACTGACCCAGCCGCGCCGCACCGGCTAACAGGGGCGAGACACTGACCCAGCCGCGCCACTAGTGGGACCGCTGATGTGCTGTTGCGTTGCAACGATACATTTCGTTGGTCAAAACAACTGGACACATTTTGCCTTTGCTCCGCGCTGAGCAGGGCTCTGATGTCAAGCAATATCAAGTAAACATGAGACACATCAACTAAAGCTCCAAAGCACCCGCTACCGACCGAAACGAAAAAGAACGTATTTGTATGCTATTTGGCTTCGTTGTAAACGTATCCCATCAGAATATGGTTTCGTTCCATTCGGTACTTTTATAACTTTATGGAGGGCACGCGCTTCATTGCATACCTCCCTGAAGGTGCGTGCTTCTGGAAATAGCCGCAGAGGGCCTTTCGTAGCATTATAGATCACCATGATGCGCCCAAACACAGGTGCAGTTACGCACCTGAAATTGAGGGGAGATCAGGATTGCGAAGATAAACCTGGAATCTGGGTGTACAATTGTCCTGCTCATATGATTCACTGGGCTTTAGAGCAGGCCCTTTTACCTGAATGCAGTGTATTATGTTAAACTCTTGATATGGAATGAATATCCGTGTAGCTTATTTGCTCCAATGTCACATGTAAGGAAATGTTCCACATTTCATGTGATTTGATATAGAAGCAAGCATCAGATATGGTGACACCAGCTCAGTTGCAACCAGTGGTATAATTTAAGTGGAAAAGACTGCTGGGACGACACAGTTCCTCTGATCAGCAAACATGCTCGTCAATAAGTCAGTGTTTGATTACGTCACCGTACCAAACGCAATATTGATTGACAGCCAACTGAGGGCCATTATATTTGGAAATCGCGCTCACGAACACCAGATATGAACGACTTAACAGTTATATTTGACTTGGTCTTGATCGCCGCATAGCCAATGAAATGCCTGGATTTGAACTGCGTTGTTATGGCGTCATTATTACCTCTTAGTGAGTACACCCATGTGCCTGAACGCACTACGCCACACCACGCACGTAAACGCTCCTTGCATTCTGCTGTATTTGACACCAATGTTAATCCACCTTCTTGCGGCGGGTCCTGGACAATACCGCGAGCGGCCGTGCGGGCCGCTGTATTTATAATTATCATGTCATTAACACATTTTTATTCGCAACAATCGTGTGGCGCCACCCGCACCGTCTGTCCGCAACCGAAAGCAGGACGATGTACTTCGCATCAGCTGGTCGCATCTCCTTCCACCGACGCGGCGGACAGGGGGGGGGGGGGAGGGGGGATACCTGCATCCGTGTCCGAGCGGTTAGTCATGGGTCAGGAGCTATCTCCAGGGCGGTTGGTAGCTTCGCGAGGACAGCCGGTTATCATCAGGCAGTAGGCATGCGTCGGTCCTTCACTGCGCCCCGGGGTCACTCCGGGGGTCGTGCCGCTGCTCGGAGTGGTACTGGCTACACGCCGGGTCAAAAGCCACACTGCGCGATGCGAGCATGCATACTGGCCCAGTCAGTGATCTTCGGCGACAGGGTGCCCGACGGCACGGGGTCAGGCTGGGGCATAGGACTGTCCTGTGTTATGTGGACGTGCGTAATGCCTCCTTCCTTGATCATGTAAGCCGATTCCCCAAGTGGGATAAAGCGCGGCTTTGAATGACCTCTGCCTACTCATTGTGAAATGCTTCTTGCGTCCTCGTAATGCGATTAAATCCATAATGATCGATGGAATAAGTCAAACAAAATGTCGCGCTCACTTCAGGAGTGCGTCGGCCTTTACGTACCTTAAAAACTGCTCGATTCAAGTGCGAAGTAACATGCATAAGTTCAGCCAAGATATCTCAAGACCAATAGGATCACTCTCGGCCAGCCTCATTCTGTACGCGAGGAGAGCAAGATGCGTCTTTCAAAGTGGCTAATAAAGAGGGGAATGCTACTGAGGACGTTACCCTCTTTGGAAAGAGCATTATTGCTGAACATCTTTGCGGAACTCCATGGCAGTCTTGGCTTCATACGACTTCCTGGGCCTAAGAGCACAGTAGTTAAATGCCACTGTTTCTCGGCTCTCCGATCGGTCCGCCAATCGTGATGATTCCATCCCGCACTGATTTCGCATTTATTCGGCCGCCGCTGCTGTGTCACCGCACCCACAGCGCCGTCTTCACCTGATGTGACCCCGCACCCACAGCGCTGTCTTCACCTGATGTGATCCCGCACCCACAGCGCCGTCTTCACCTGACGTGACCCCGCACACTCAGCGCCGTCGTGACCTGATGTGACCCCGCACCCACAGCGCCGTCTTGACCTGATGTGATCCCGCACCCACAGCGCCGTCTTCACCTGATGTGACCCCGCGTGACCTGTGCTTCCAGACAAGGTTGACCCGAGAGACGCTCGCCGGGCGAAAACTGACCCGCTCTGGTGCAAGCGGTTTCTGTCGCACGGCGACCTCGACATGGACAAGGCTCTCAACTTCATGATCGACGCTGTCAAGTTTCGAAAGGAGATGTGTGCCAATGGTGAGTGATACGCTTTCTGCCGTGGTTGCGGTTGCAGTTTGGTGTATCTCAGGAGCTCCTGCCAGCTGCTCGAGTTTTATGAAAGTAACGCTGCTCATGGACTATTTGAAGACGTCATAATCCTAGCTGCAAGCCGATAGAAGGTAATACGACAATAGCTTCCTTTTTACCAATCTACAATGAAGTATGGTTGATATATCCGTTTCATGTTCAAATTGGCCATTGGGCGAAGCGTGTGGAACGATCCAACCATCGCAAGGCTGGATGCTTTCGTTTCTCCTCTGCGTTCTTGGCATTTTCGATCAGCTTTACCGCGCTTAGTATTTGCCCGTGTAGCACTGGAATGAAGGTGATCTACAAAAATAAAAACGCCACAAACATTTTAGATACATGTGACTGAGCGTCTTACGGAACCCGTGCAAATGGTGCCGTCTTGAGAGCTTGTTTGAGGTGCTACCGTTTTGCTGTTGCAACCGTCAGCTCGGCTCGACTCGGCATTGCATTCCGATAAATCCCACCCACGCTCCGCGCTACAGTCGGCGCTGCGGGGCGCGCGGATCGCCCGAGCCTGCTCGGAGCGCTGCCCGGAATTAGCGGCAAACCATTACAAGGCCGCGTTTGCTGCACAACCTGCCCGGGCGAGGACCTGACCTGGAACAGAGTGAATGTGCTGCCTTGGGGACGGTTCAGCCTGCACTCACCGCCAGACCAAGCCTGGAATCATCCGTGGATAATGGGAAGGCTGGGTTCTGGCATCTGGGTCTCGAAGTTGAACGTGCCGTACTAAACAATGAAGTATGGCATATGCGGCAGAGTCCACGCCAGCTGGCACCGAGGTAGCCGCTACGGCTGTCATCCGGAGGAATGCGAACGTGTCAGTGTGCGCAATGACCTGGAACAACCACTGCGGGTTGGACGAACAGTTCACAGCGCATCGCATGGTTGGGTGTGGCTCTGGGACCACATCAAGAAGACCCCGCGCGCCAAGGATGGGCTTGCCACTCCATCCAGCGGTTGCGTGCCCCAAGCCATGAATTGAATATCCGAGAAATGGACGCAGTGAAGTAAGGCGCCTTTTGCGGCGTGGCGCCAGCGAGGTGATGACAAACGGGATTATTATCACCGTGTGGAGATAGCAAAACGTAGGCGAATGGAGCCCGTCGTCTGTGGGAAGCCATGTAAACAAGGCATATTAACACGGCACAGGGCCGGTCGAACGTGTCAGGGTGGGGATGGGGGTGGGGAGGGGGGGATTTGACACCCTAAAGTATCAAAACTAATAGAGCTAGAGACACCAAATCCACAGAGAAGGTAGGCCTGTGTGAGAAGTCCCTTGTGTCACATTCAAGCCATGACCTTCGGGTCAGCTGAGATCCGACAAGGTTAATTCAGATCGGTGCTCCAACTGCCTTAAGCCTCCGCATGTCACCGCCTTCGCCTTAAATGCCGTTTCTTAGGGAACGGTCGCTGGCATTCAGCTCAGGCCAGTAACCTAGTTTGACCTATGGAATGTTATGGTGACCAGAACCTTACTATATTTTTTTATTTTTAATCGACATGAGCAAGAAGAATCAGGTTGAGCGGTACATTTTTTAAACAGAATGCTGTTTGCGTCATTTTAGGTCAGTGGCCTTCTCCAATACTAAGAAATTTTATATTAGACGGCTGTTGACACCCCTGGAATAAAAATATAGAAATAAGCATAAAAAACTGCCAAATGTAGCAAGTTTTTGGTCGAGAACGCAGTTGACTTTGACTTCATTCTAGTATTCATACCTGACCCAGGGTCAATGGAATTAGTCGTAATCCTAAATTCAATGGTATCGTTGTCTAAGAAACTATCTCAAAGATGCATTGCACTGTCTACCATAACGTTGTCGCACGAGATCGAACGACTCCCCATGAATGGCCTTCGCCGGTAGCTATATCCTGTTGTTGGATTTCCGCAACTCAGTGACATTACAGGACACAGCTATTTTCTAGCACCAAGAGATCCGCTATTTAATTCCTCACAGTTATACAAAATTTGGTGTGACCACGCTTTTCCGTGCGGAAATTATTCTGGAAAACTTCCGGTGGTGAAACACAGTATGTTTTTCATTAAAGCATCGGGTTTGTGTGAGATTTTCTGCGCTCATCATTTTTTTTCATCACGCGGTGCTGTGGCGTACACCAATTAGCATGTCGGTGCATGAAGTGGCTGTGCATAGAAAGTCCGTCGAAAAGCATAACCGGCTGAACCGAACCAGACAGGGCCACTGACGAAATAAAGTCTATAAATAGCTGACACTAGCAACCACTCGGCTTGCGGCATCGTTCGTAATTTTGTAGCCTTGAGTCTTGAGCTCTGATCTGGTTCTGGTGTGCGAATGTGTTTTCCTACGTATGCGTTGCGTTCAGAGATATGCAGCTTCAGTGCATGTAGATGTCGTGTCTTGCATAAAGCTTTGACAAGTAGGAGTATTTTCTGCGGGCGCTACGTTGCCGATGTATACGGGAGAGCCACCGTGAGCTTTGCTTTATCCGTGGGTTATGCTGAGTTACCATTTCCAATGCACAAATGCATGTTTAAAAGGAGCACAACTTGTATTCATGAGTCAAATCACTCATATGACAGATGAAGTGATCATCGCACATAGTTGAAGATACCGTCATACGTGCGCATAGCTAAAGGCAACGTCATACATATCTAAAAGAACCGTAGAACTTGGCCTTTTCTGGTGGAGAGTACGTCGCAGTATGTTTGACATTCACTGTGATTGTTTAGACATATAATGGCTGACATGCAGTTCCCTTTCGGCGCGCGACGGCCGTATTCCTGACTGCATACACGGCACGATGCCGTGCGGCATTCCCTTTGCTGTCTTACATGATCTGCCTTTATTGCATACGCGGTCTTCAGGTCCTAGCTGTCGACGGCTTGCTGCTGTCCTCTTACCCGTCCTCTTCGCCGGCAGACATTTCTCTCGCCACGGTGGACAACACGCTCTTCAGCAAGGGTGTCATGTGCACCCATGGACAGGACAAGAAGGGATGTCGGATCGCCATCTTTAACGCCCGGTTCCACGAGAGGGTGTCAGGAGCGAGGTTTGAGGATGTGAAGAAGTTCCTGGTGTTCTGGATTGAGAAGGTGGATAGGTGAGGATCGTAAGCATTAGGTAGTTGCATTTGGAGTGCTTGCAAGGGCTGCATCTACATCTACACCGGCTGGAATTGCTCATTTGAAAGAACAACGGGCTTTTCACTTTGTTTAGTCTAATATGTGGTCATTACAATGCCCAAAAAGTTTGCAGTCTTCTTGCTGAAGGTAAGTCTAGACACAAATGTCCGCAGGGGCGAAGCTGTCTGTTCAAGGAGGCAGTAAAGTATGATAAAAAACATGTCTCATGTTGCCATGTTATATGAGAAACAGGTATAGTATGTTGTGGTGAAAAAGCTGACAATGTTTTTTGTTGATAGCGTTTTTCTTCTGGGAATGAATAGGCAGCAATGGGGTACTTTCCGTTGTTTTGGCCCCAGGCTATTCTCGTTCAGTGTTATCATTTTTTTCAGACTTCTTTCGTTCATTGTTATGGTTTCTTAACTCCAGACTTTAAACTCATATCATTTCGTTCAATGCCTTGGTTTTTTAAAGCTCAGGCTTTTTTTCTTTCTTATACAGTTCCGCTAACTCACTAACGTATTTAATACCTGGCTATAACCAGAACACGTAGGCAATGTTTGCGTCGTCCAGAGGATGTTCGCCTGGTTCGACGTACTTCGCCAGTAAAAGGAAATTTCTTTATTTAAAATGTTGAGCACTTTTGGGAAGCAGAACTCTTTTTAGAAGTGTGGAGGTGCGTGAAATCGCTTGTTTTTTTGCGGTGGGTTTTGGGTAATACACCCCGTAACGGTTTGGTCATGTGTATGCCAAAATTTTATCATGAAATTAGTTTTCGGCCGTTAGATTGTCTCGCACAATCTTTGAAATGACATGAATTCTCAACAGGTGTTTCCAAAATATCTACGATAGCCCTCGTCGAATTACCACGCCCCTCGTGTACGGCGCCACCTTTAAGTGTTTGAAAAGGAGTTATGGCGTCAAGAACACAGTTTTCAAGTTAAAATTTGCTATTTCCATGGCTTTTTAGCGTTTCAGTACGTCTGTTGTTTTGTTATTTGAATTCCTCAAATGGGAGAAGCCGCGAGTGTATCTTAAATGAGCACGTATTCATTCACTCCCTGCAACCCAAACGGGACACATGAGATTCAGCTTTGGGGAATATCGTTGCTTGTTTATTGCTTATTGTTGATTGTGTATGGTTTATTTGGTTTATTTAGGGCGTAACAGTTCACAGTCAAAAGTCTAATTCCGGAAGCAGTCCGGTTTTAAAACAATAAAAATACGATGCACATACAAACTAAAAAACTTACCACACACGCATACACATTACACACAGACACACATACGCCTTACGCACTCAGACACAACGGTCGTTAAAGGAGCGCACGACGAGAACGGGCAAACCTAAGCAAATAAGACTGGAATGGTTTTGTCTGCTGGAAAAAGGACGGTTTGGGGAGAATGCTGAAGAAAACAGTTGCTAATAAGTGGTAGATGTGTGGCAAACCAATTCTTAACGGCCTTTACCCTGCAAATGGTTAGTGAAAAAGATTGGTTTGCCGGGAGCACCGGGTGGGTGTAGCCAGACCGAACAGGTCTGGTAACTGGTACTCATATCTGGTAACTGCAGTCAAACCTCTGATGATATACGTTTTAAAGAAACGATGCGTCAGACTGAGCAAAGCGCGCCGTGATAGATGCTGTGATGAGAAACGGCAACACCGTTCCAAATACCGCCACCGTACCCCATTAATTATTTTACATAAGCGTTGAAAGCACACGTTAAAGCTTTATGATTAAGCCTCTCTTGACAAGGACACTGCGGCATTTTCACGCCCTGCATGAGAAGGCCCAGAATGCTGTGTGCTTTTGAGACATCCATCTAGGTGGTCGGTAAAGGTGTGTTGGATATCCAGGAGAACGCCAAGATCGCAAATCTGCTGGTAGCTATCCAAGCGGTGACCGTCTAGTGCATATGAATGGCGAACAGGTGATGTAAGGAGGGTGAATGAGATGGTTTTGCACTCAGCTGGGCTCGGTTTCAATCCCCAGTTTTTGGACCATTCACGGAGGCGACCCAAATCCGCCTGCAGTGCGGGGCAATCTGCTATTCCGTGATCATGTAAGGACGGTGCATGGCTGCTCTGGTTTGCTAGCCTTGAAAACACCCAATATTCGTTCTGTTGACGCCATAGCCGTTTTTGAGTACACTACAAAGGAACATTGAACACGGGGTGCATGGTGCGTCGCGCAGAGTTGTCACGAATGTACCAGACATATGTGGTGGGGATTCATTTCAGTTACATGCTGGTGGCGTCCAGTGCACCATGTGAATCATCTAGAAAGCATGGTCTCACGGCTAAACTAAAGAATTCACCCACGCTCCCAAGCAGCCTTGACAGCGACACCATAAGCTATTTTGATAGCAAAATTTGTGCATGGCTGAACTATGACCAGGGACATTTTCCAAAGTCCAACTTACCTACACACGTCACTTTACACACCATATGCTTTAAAGTGAGGCTCATTTTATTTCGGAAAAAGCTCAATGACTGAGCTTGTATTCATTAAAGCTTAAGGAAATCCGCTCAGGTCTCAAAAAATTATGCCCCACTTTTTTACGACAACCCATGCGTAGTCTATTTTGTGAGCAATTTTGCAGCGGTTTGGGGCCATTTCGTCTGGTGTCGTTAGATACAGAAGCAATCACACTACTGTTCAAAGAAAGGCGACCAGCGTGGACTTCTCCTGTTTACGCTCGTAAACCAATCAAAAACTGTATATGTCACTGGGTGTTTCATGATGTGTCATTTAATGTACGTCCCGGAGGTCTAGCACACGATACACGTCGGTATGTAGGTTCAAATACGCAACGCCTCCCTGCAATGTTTTCGTGACGTTTTTGAAGAACAAATTTTACCAGCCATATTTCAACGCAATACATCCTGCTCATAAAGATCACGATAAGACATGCGGCCGTGTGCACAAACAAATTGCAGAATGACTTCGGATTGTGTTTCGACGGTGGCAAACAAGGGTGTAGGTTTATGAGCAACGCTTACATCTGCATGCTACGGTCATCATCGTCGCAACTCCTTGCGTCAGTTATCTTAAACGGTCCAGTGAAACGCTTCGTTAAGTAACGGATTCGGCGCCGAGCATTCTCACCCCAGGCTCGGTGCGTTACCCCCCCCCCCCCCCCCCCGCCCCGCCTTCTTAGAAGTGTTCCCCACTTGACCTTACCCCGCCCGCAGATCGGCCTCACGCTGCAGCCGTGAGTTGCATTGTAAAAGCCCTTAACTTGGCACGTGCTTCATAGGTGATTGAGTTACTGCGTGTGATAGAGGTTATGGCAGCTGCTAAAGCGGATAAATCAGTCTCGACTGTGACTCACCTAAATTTGCCGAAGGTACCGCCTTGCTCGACATGGAAGTAGTTGGTTTTGGGATCGTTTCCGTCTGCCCGAAGTTGGCACAAGGCCGCCCTGCACTTGACCCTGCCCGGATTCGGGATCAAGTTAACTCCGTATTCAACTTGACGGGATTCCCGAGGCGCGTTTAAACCTCGTCGCCGCCATCCGAGCTCTGTGGGTAGAGCTGATGATGCAGCCTCGCGCGAAGTGCAATCGACTCTGACTAGACGAGCCTTATCAGCCAGCACTTGAAGCTTCACCTCACTAATGCGCGCAACAAATGTGTGCCAAGCGTCCTTTAGATGCGAGTCCTCGTGTCGGCTCCGATCGTCTCAGATGACTGCCGCAGATATTCAGGGCGCTTCTTTTAGGTGACGCGGTTCGAATGTGCCCCGCGCCTTTTGCAGAGGGTATTCGCCATTTGGCCTATACCTGCGGGTTAAAACGCATCCTGACGTCGGCCCGCCCTTGGTGCGGGGGTGTCAAACCGAGGCTAAGCTCGCCACCCGTGACGTCGGCCCCCCCCCCCCCCAGCTGGCTTCCCAGGCGAGGCGATAAGGACGCGGGATACCGGAACTGATACTGGCCGCGGGGCCCTGACCTTTGCGGGGAGGCCTCCGTAGGCAAACAGAGCATTACATGCTGCCCTCTTGGCGAAGGGCTGTCCAAAATTTGGTCCGACGGAACGCCTAAACTGACAGACATATAGACATAAAGACATCAGGCCAACAAAGAGCCACAAGGGCCCATCGAAGTCGGCCTACCACAAGATCTGCACCAAGCCTTGACACTAATGTTACCACCTGACCTGCCTGAATGTTGCTATAAATGAGATCCTTAGACCAATAGAGCTCGTCCAAGCGGTTTTTAAATGCTGCTAGGCAGTGATTTCCTACAACTTCGTTAGGCAGTCCATTCCAATGGTTCACTGTTATTTGACGAAATGGCATCTGCCTCTTCATATTTCTACTCCTACCTTTTGCTAACTGAAACTGGTTTCCTCTAAGTCTCGGCCTAATTTCCAGCGCTCCTTGTGGATCTACCTTGTCTATCCTTTTCAGAATTTTGAATACCTCTATCAGATCCCCTCTAAGTCTACGATGTTTTATTGAATACAAATCGAAGATCTTAAGCCTTTGATTACATTCCAAGCTGCCAATCCCATTTATCATCCTAGTTACTTTTTGCTGTACTCTCTGTAGCCTGTCTATATATTTTTGAAAGCATGGGGACCAAGCCTGTTCACAATTCTCTATGTGCGATCTGACATAAGCTAAGTACAACTTTTTGGCAGCATTCCTACTTTTTTAATAGGCATTCCTGGTAATAAGTCCCAGTATCCGAAGTGCCTTGCTCCTAGATGCCCCACATTGCTTTTAAGCCTTTAAATCCCTGGAAATTGTATTCTCATAAGTCCTTTTCGTCCTTGATCTGGTCCGTCTCTCGGCCTCACATGCTAGCTAATGCACTCACCGCCAGAATTACCTACATGCATCATCTTACACTTGTCGTAACTAAATAACATCTGCCGCAGGGAAGCCCATTTCACAAGTTTCCTCTAAGTTCAGTTTTATCTGGTTTGCATTTTTTGACAACGCTACCAGTTTAACGTTGTCAGCCAATTTAAACACCTCACTTTTTAATCCAACCTCAGTATCATTCACAAAAATCAGTAAGAGCAAACGGCCCAACACCGACTCCTGTGAAACTGCATCCCTCCAGCTTTCCCCAAGCTTTAAAGAAAAGTAGGTCAAGTTCGGAACGAAGCCCGTTTTTGACGAGTTTTGGGGGTAAGGCTCTTAATTTATGACGGTTCGGCTCCCTCGCTTTTTCCGAAACTTTGCCCCTGAATACGATTTGGTGTTTTCGCTTTAACTGAGTCACTATAATAGACAGCTCCCCAGGTTTCATGTGGCATCGGTCCCTGATTAGCAATGCGACACGGAGTATAGGCAATGATATATCTTTCACTCGAAATTGAATGGGACAGATGATCACGAACGGCAGCAGAGTTTCTTTTCACTGCGCTGGGTCGCTTCGCAGGGAGGAGAAGGGGAAGCGGATCAGCCTGTTCTTCGACATGGGGAATGCCGGCATGTCGAACGTCGACATTCCGTTCATTTCGTACCTGGTCAACCTATTTAAGTTCTACTACCCGGACATGCTGAACAACATCATGGTGTTCGAGCTTCCCTTCATCATGACAGGTGAGTTCCGGTGTTCAGATGTGCTGGGGCCCTGCAGCGCGATGCGTGTGAAGTCCCGCGTTCAGATGTGCTGGGGTCCTGTAGCGTGATGCGTGTGAAGTCCGGCGTCCAGATGTGCTTGGGCCCTATAGCTTGATGCGCGTGAGTTCTGACGTTCAGATGTGCTGGGGCCCTGTATCGTGATGCGCGTGGGGTCCGGCATTCAGATGTGCTGGGGCCCTGCAACGTGATGTGCGTGAGGTCCGACGTTCAGATGTGCTGGGACCCTGTATCGTGATGCGTGTGAGATCCAACGTTCAGATGTGCTGGGGCCCTGTAGCGCGACGCGTATGAGATCCGACGTCCAGATGTGCTGCGGCCCTGTAGCGTGACGCGTGTTTTGTGGGACGACGAGAAAGAAATCTCGCCGGTGATCTGTACATCGAGGGCCTCAATTTGTTGGCTATTGATAAGCTAACTGAAGAAAATCGTTGGCCAAGAGGCTAGAAATCATACCCGAAGAGAGCTACAAAATGTCGCTGGTTAACGCCAAGGTCTGTGTGATGCAATGTGTCAGTGACAAGCGCCAGTGCACGATGAACGATGAACAGTGTACGATGTACGGTCACGGTCATAATGCTTCCATCCTTATTAGAGGCAAATGCAATGGGTGAAGTCTTTGTTTTAAGAATGACGACCTAATTGCACGTTTTACCTAGAATGACTGCCATGTTGCGTGGGCCACCGCCCGTGTGCATGTCACTCTACCCGCGTGCACTACCCGCGTGCATGTCCCTCCCTGCCCGCGTGCATGTCCCTCTTTGCCCGCGTGCATGCCCCTCTCTGCTTTATCCATATCTATCTATTTTGCATGTTTTTTCTTCAATCCGAGCGCTTCCGTCTGAATTCGAGTCCTCGAATATGTCAAGATGCTCCGCAGAATATCTTCGCTCTCCTGAGGTAGGGTGTTTGGACATCATATTTCGTGACTGAGACTGTCACGGGTGACACCGAGAATGGCGTCGAGCTCTCCACGCCTCCCTCACGCGTGCTCCATCCACAGCCGCCTGGAAAATCGTCAAAAACATGCTACCTGCGAAGTCTCACCAGCTGATCAAATTCGTCTCGAAGAAGGACGCGAACACGCTGGTGCCGGCCGAGTGCTTGCTAACGCGCTGGGGCGGCGAGGACAGCTGGGCGTACTCCTTCGACCCCGAGGAGTGCGCCATGCCGCCGCTCCCCTTCCTCGGGGCTCAGGCGACCGGCGCCGAGGACAAGCCCAAGGTCAACGGGGGTCGCCAACGGTCACGCCGGCGGGAAGATGGCTAACGGGCACGTGCGCAGCAGTCAGAAGTCGTCTCAAGGTCACGATAGCGCCGCCAAGTACCTCAGCGTGAAAGATCCGCCGAGCTCTCCAGAGTCGGGGCACAAGGTCAGGCAGTAGGACCAAGGTCAAGGTCAGGTAGCTTGTTTCGGAGGGATGTTTCGCAAGCTGTGGGCTGGATGGAACAGGTGGGTGGTTGAGTCATTGTAACAATAAGTAAAGGTGCCTGGGTGCGATGTAGAGCTAGCCAAATCTGTTATGCTGTTGGCTGAGCTAGGTGCTGTTGCATTTCGCGCGGTCTTAAGCAACGTCTCTGCTATCTTAGCCTTGCATACTGCATGAATTCAGTGCTATGGAACTGTAGGGGCCTTGCGACACACTCCCTTCCTAACTTCCCAGTTGTGGGTATCGTAATGCAAATACCCTCCCCCCCCCCCTAATCCGCAACCTCTTGCCGATCCCAGCACAAAAACGCTACGGTTTTTAGTTTCTTGGTGAAACAATGGACATGGCTAACGGCTAGGGTGTTTTCCAGACGTGGAGGTTAAAGCTACACGAATTTGTGGTTCTGATATGGGGCAGGTATACTATATATCTATAAGATATAAACCGTATATATATATATATATATATGTATATGTATGTATATATATATATATATATATATGTGTATATATATATATATATAAATATATATATATATGTATATATATATGTATATATATATATATATATATCCCCTCTCCTCAGACTTTCCCTCTCTCCCTTCCAGTTGCATTTATATAATTATCTAAAAACGTGAAAATCTTAAGTGCTGCAAATGCTTTAGGCCATCGCGTTTAAGACCAATGGTTTTGTTACTAGCAGAGACGCATGTAATTAATCCGACTTGCAGCGATTTGCGTCAGTCGTGTGACAATGTCAGCCAGCCATGCCAGCCGCCATGTTTGTTAGCCATGTTAAGTGATGAGCATCTTGACAGACGCAGCACGGAGCTTCCAAAACGGATATAAGGCCTGGTAAATAAACATTGGTCCACGGCAGAAACCAAACGATTTTGATTTTGTCGCTCGTCGTTGGCAGGTGCGCTTCCCTGACGACGTCAGCACAAACAGTGACGAGCTGTCCGACTCAAAACTGCAGGAAGATAACTCAACGACCGAGCTAGGTAAGGTGTGGATCGCAACTCGCCGTCGAAATTGTGTCACGGTGTTTTCAATGAGGCAAGCCCATAACTCCGCTGCTCCCACACGAATGAATGGCTGTTCACCCTCGATGCTGTCAGTGCGGGAATAAAAGCTTGCTGTGGAAGTCCCTGTTAGTTGGGCTGGGGCCCTCTTCAATGTCGCATCTGTTTGGCCCGCGAAGGTGTAACGGGCATCAGTAGTTGGCCGGGGGTGATAAGCCTCGCACGCACAAACCGTTATGATCATTCCCCGCCCGCCAACGTTCACGAAGGTCGCCCGAAAGCCGCCCGTTCGAGCAATGTGAAACGTGAAGAAGGTACATGAATGTTTCTCGATGAAGCCGAACAAACACGCGCATGACTGCTAGCATGCGCCTGTAAATTTCACAAAAGGCGTAGTTCGTGCTGTCACTAGACAGCACAAATTATGTCTTTTTGAAATTTACAGGCCGTTTTTAGAAGCACCCAACTATTTCCATTTTCCTGCTAACCGACCAGAGTTAGGCACTGCACCATTGCCATGGTATGGCGTGTTCCAGGGAAACTGCTGGAAGTAACGCCAGGCGAACAGCTGTGGTTTGGATCATCCAAGACCAAGCAGACGATAACGCTGAGCAACATCCGAAGAGCTGGAGTCGCCTTTAAGGTAAGCGATGACGTCACACGATACAAAAAGCCTATCTGAACCCTCTTGTCTCTAGATTCTGTTGGCAACCATCGCCGCGATCGCGAGCTTGATATCAGTTGTGCTTGTCAAACAGTACGCGATAATAAAACAATGCGCATCAGTAGCAATCTTTTGGCCTAGCTCACATTGATGCAATCTTCTCACAAATAACAAATCCTAAAATTGTCAGCACCTATAAATCTGATCCATATGAATCAAGCGGTAAATGCGCTAAAGGTGCTGAAAAGTTACATGCTGATTTCGTAATGGGTCGTACATCCATGCATAGCCCACCTTAGACTCAGCGCTGTTTTTCTACTCCTGTGGCGTCATCGGAGAACTGACCGGAACACGACCACCCGTACTGCCCCTCGCCAGGATTCCCCCAGCTACCAACAGGCCAGCATCCATCGCCACATCATCTGCGGTTCATCAGGCGTTGGCTTGCGCCTGGGTAACAACACCCCGCCGAGTGTCCGATCGGCTGTCCTCATCATACATCCAACCGTTCCCTTCCAAAGCGCCTGAGGCTGGTCCGACCCGCGGATAAGCCCCCGCTGCTGGCCCCTTCCTCTGTGCTGACTCGCCGCCCGCGCCTGCGCCCAGGTGAAGACCACGTCTCCGGACAAGTTCCGCGTGCGTCCCAGCAGCGGGGTGGTACCCACCGGGCGGCGCGTGGTGGTGGAGCTGGAGCTGTGTGACGGCGTCACACCGCAGCACGTCGTCACGGACCGCTTCCTCATCCTGGCGGCCGGCGTACCGCACGAGCGCGTGCCTGCCCGCGACATGGGACGCCTCTGGAGGGTGAGACGGGGTTCACCTCTGAGGGGTGAGGCAGGGGCCACCTCTGTGAGGTGAGGCAGTGGTCTTTTCAGGGAAAGTGGGCCTTAAGAGAGTGAGACAGAGGTACGCGCCAGCAGCCATCTTTTGACCCAGTTCACACTGATGCAATCTACTCACAAATTACAAATCCTGAAGTTGTCACTACCGATATATCTGATGAATCAAACGGTAAATGCGTTATATGTGCTGAGGTAGGTAAGCAAGTGATTCAAGTTCACGCTTTCGTCGGCGGGACACACAAAGTCCCCACTTCACCGCCTCAGCCCGCGCTCCCCTCCCCGCCGCAGAGCCTGCCTAGCGGAGACAAGCTGGAGCACTGCCTGCGCTGCGCGGCCGCGCCCGCGCTCAACGACCCGCTGATGGCGCTGGTGCGCGGCCTCGGCACCCGGCTGGAGGCCGTCAGCCAGCGGCTGGAGAAGCAGCAGCAGCTGGCTACGGAGACGGAGCAGCAGTACGCCAAGACGCGCCGCCGGCTGGGCGTGGCGCTGGCGCTCATCGCCGCCACAGCCGTCGCCAACCTGTGTCTGGCGCTCACCGTGACCAGGTGTAAGCAGCCTGTTTTGAGCTTCTTGTTGTAAGATGTGAGCCAGTTACCTGACGCTTGTAAGGCAGCTGAGTTTGGCCTGCGTGTTTTACTTGAAATTGACGACCAATGCGTCCAAATGAATGATCCATTTACCCTTCGGGTGCATGATTCAGACTCATGCCAATAAAAGGCAGTTGTACTCAAACGTACTGAAGCGTGCCCTGTACTCAAATGTTCAGGAAAGACCAGGTGTACATCCTTTCCCTACTGTGGCGAACTATTCAGATATATCAACCGTGAAATAGGTTTGAATCTTTTTGCCGAACTGTGCGCATTGTCTGAAGGTGTAACCAATGTCCCTGGCATCGTGGATAGTAACATTGAATGCAGTCAACACCTCGCGAACCGAACTATGGAAGAAAAATGTGAAAATTATCTGCCCCATAGCACCTTCGATCGACCAGCTTGCACACTAGAGTGCAAAAAAAACGGTTTGCGCAAGGCATTTTGTCACTGCGGGTAGCCAGAATTGTGTCCGCGTTACAGACAGCACTGACCAGCCCCTCCCTGCACCACCACGCAGCTTTCAGACACCGGCATGATTCCAGGTTGAACTCCTTGGCCGTCACTGTTGGCCAGCAAGCGGTGAGAAGGCCGCCGCGGGAGGGAGCCAATCCAGACGAACCATGTGGGTTGGTCGCCACACTGGCAACCCACGCTCCGAATGTCGTCGAAGGCAGGCCAATCCACCAGTCGACGCCGTGAAGCCGTTCTTACCTCAGAAATGTTACCCCGGGCTGTGGTCGGTCCAAGAGAAACCAAAGGGCAGAGCTGGCGTGCAATCAAACATAGGATAGCAAGTCAGAAGTCTGTGGGAGCATCTGCTTTTTGGTAGCGGAGGCCGCGCTCCCGTCTGGCGCAGGCTGGTTGGGCTACCAGTGTCACGAGTGCCAGAGCACGTACTCTGACCGGTGGTGTGCGTGCTTCCAAGTGTTCAGCTCAGACATTTAGCTGCTGATCACACGCGTGTGTGACATCAGATCTTAAGGTGCCAGCTGTCGTCGTCAGGAAGTTCAACGTGTTGGCTGGCCGTTAGTGACGTCTTTGATCGTACCGATGGAGTGGCGGCTCGGGAGAAAGCCAACAAATATATGAATCATACAAGCCTCGCAGTCTTACGAATATATTTCGCAATGCGATTCCCATGGGCTTGAATCGCACACAGTCGATTTACAGATCCATCGGTAGTCAACGGCTGTAGAGGGAGCGGAGGTACTCATTAAAAAAGACGCACGAGGAATAACCCGCAGACCAAACCGCAGAGCCATTTATGCTGCGAGATCCTCACCAAACACACCATGGCCCATTCGGTCGAGCATATCCAGACCTACATTCTACTGTGTGGAATCCAAGCACATGCTTTGAGCCGCTGTGACCTATGTTTCTCCCCTTCATCTGATAATGGTGCCCCTCTCCGTTAGCCATAGCTGGTACAGCATCACCAGTTGCAGGGCCTGGTGGGAACTGTAAATCCTTTGTTCCGGTTACACCAATAACAGGACCAGACGTGCGTGCAGTAGCTGGGGCATGGTACGCAACACGGACTAGATTATACATGTGTACAAAACACTGACTTGGGGAACAACCAACGCATCAACCAGCATGTAAATTAGATTGGAGTACGTCGCTGAAAGCTTATTAACGCCATGGTTGGGCCGTAGCAGCCACGTGGTGAAATCATAACATTGAAGCCACGGACAAAGCATTGCGACAGGAAGCTCCGCTTATGAATCCAACTGCATGGATAAGACACGCCCGCCGCGTGTGATTACGATCATCGAGTCTCAAATCAGACGTTTCACAAGCACCGACCACCGCACGTTTCTGCCCCGCGCGCACCATCTTCGTCACACACCAGCACATGACAGCGCCACCTACAACAACCATCGTTCTTGCCATTGTCCCACCCAGTGCACGTGCCAGACTTCGCAAGAATGCGTTCGGGTTCGTATCACAGCACGTTGCTTCGCCGCCCTTAACGCGGGCCAACGGATCACGACAGCCATACACCAGGTCAGTGCGGTGAAGGGCGATATCGGTATACATCAGCTGGCAGGCCACAGTGATACGCCATCGGCTGGCGGCAGTACCCGGGCCAGGGTGACCTGACGCTGTTAGCTAAGCTGTACTCGAGGCACGCCAGCATACCAGCCGACTGAGCTGGCACTGCGTGGGGTGGCCTTACGCCTGGTGGCCAAGCAGTACACAGCTGACGACCCCTCGTCCTCAGGACAGAGCACCGCTCCTGACGACCCCGCGTCCTCAGGACAGAGCACAGCTCCTGACGACCCCGCGTGCTCAGGATAAAGCACAGCTCCTGACGACCCCGCGCCCTCAGAACAGTGCACAGCTTCCAACGACCCGCACTCTCCGCTAACCCGACCCAGCTCCACACGACCGGCGACGGCGGCCGAGCGCATCCTCAGAGCGGCGTCGGCCGCGGCTCGGCGGCCGCCGTGCAGCACAGCGACTCGTCCGCCTCCTCCGCCGGCTCGACGTCGCCCGCCAGCACGGCGTCCACGGGCTGCTCGCCCCGCCGACGGGGCCCTGGCGGCGGAGAGGGTCGGAGCGAGTCAGGCTCCACCCGGCTCGCCGAAGAGATGACCGCGCTGCTGTCGATGGTCAACGGGGCGAAGAGAGAGCGAATACGTAGGCAGATGGGCAGCGGGGACCCATACCCACTTTCACAGCCGGGGCAGCGAAGGGTTAACTCGTCTTGCGCTAAGCTGCGGTGCTACAGCTGAAATGGAGTTTTCTTTGCGATCGTGCCGTTACTCGAGGCTTTCATAGCCTGTACTTACCAATATCTGGCACCACTCTGTGACATACCTGACGTCACCAGAACCAAAGGTGTATTCCAAAAAAGGCAGCATCAACTAAATCCTGATAACCAGCGAATTTGTGACGCGGCTGCCCATCCGAACCATGCCTTTCAAGTGACAAGTTAGCACCGCAGCTCGAGGCGCGGACATTCACGCGGTGCTGCGAGGCACCCATACCCCGGCTGCTTGAAATATGCCGCTCCCGCACCATTGGGAAGGAGAGGGGCACGCGACACCGGCACTGACACGCCATAGTGGGCATAAACTTCATCCGAACCGGGACACCGGCAGCCGAAGCATAGACTAGCACTGACGTGGACAGGCGCAGACTCACACCTAAAGCATAGACTAGCAATGACGTAGACAGGCGCAGACTCACACCTAAAGCATAGACTAGCACTGACGCAGAAAGGCGCAGACTCACACATATGCACCTGGCCTGTGCTCTGCCCCCCAGCCCTGGCCAGAAACCATGCCCTTCGTCGCTTACAACGCGCCACGCTCTCACTTCCAAACACCATGCCTCCAGCGTTCCCCGCGTTCGCATGCTCCGCCTTCCATGCCCGACTCCATGCCTCCAGCGTTCCCCGCGTTCGCATGCTCCGCCCTTCATGCCCGGCCCCATGCCTCACGATCCGCCGCTGTCCCCGGCTTCCTGTCCTCCACCGCTGTGCCCGGCATCCCGTCCTCCACCGCTGTCCCCGGCGCCCCGTGCTCGCCCCCTGTCCCCAGCGTTCCGTCCTCCACCGCTGTGCCCGGCATCTCGTCCTCCACCGCTGTCCCCGGCGCCCCGTGCTTGCCCCTGTCCCCGGCGCCCCGTCCTCCACCGCTGGCCCGGCCACTCACTGCCGAGCCAGACGGTCAGGCGGTCGGCCAGGGCGGCTCGCAGCCGCGAGAAGGCACCTGCTTGGGACGAGGCGGTTCCGACTGGCCTGGACGGAGAGGTCGGCGTCTCGGCGGTGGCCCCGTCCGCCGGGCCGCGTCGGCCCGCGTTCACCATCCGACCGCCCACGTAACCTGCCGACAGAGGGCGGATCGTCCGGCCACGTAACCTGCTGACAGAGGGCGGAAAGTCCGGCCACGTAACCTGCCGACAGAGGGCGGACCGTCCAGCCACGTAACCTGCCGACAGAGGGCGGACCGTCCGGCCACGTAACCTGCCGGCAGAGGGCGGACCGTCCGGCCACGTAACCTGCCGGCAGAGTGCGGACCGTCCGGCCACGTAACCTGCCGACAGAGGGCGGACCGACCGCCCACGTAACCTGCCGACAGAGGGCGGACCGTCCAGCCACGTAACCTGCCGACAGAGGGCGGACCGTCCGGCCACGTAACCTGGCGACAGAAGGCGGACCGTCCAGCCACGTCACCTGCCGACAGAGGGCGGACCGTCCGGCCACGTGACCTGCCGGCAGAAGGCCGACTCTGCAGGCATGACACGCTACACCGTGACCCGTGCCATCAGATGACGCCATTATAACAAGGGCATAGCTATAGTAAATCAGCTCTGACGCCTTAGGCACCCTTCGGAAGTCGATAACAGCCGCCTCGGTAGATCGCCGAGCGCCACCAGCCCAGGCACAGCCTCGCACACAGCTCCGCCGCGAGCCAAAAAAATAAATCGACGACCAACCACGAGACGAGTACTGACCGAGCACGCCGCCGCCGACGGCGGCCAGGCCTCCGACCTTGGCGCCGAGCAGCAGGCCCACCGGGCCGGCCACGATCCCGCCAATCAGCGCGCCGGCCACCGGAGCCACGCCCCCGCTGAGCCGGGCGGCCAGCGCCAGCTGACGCGCGCCCTCGGCCACGTTCACCTGCGCCTCCTCCACGTGCGTCTCCACGGTGTTCACAGGCTCCGCCTGCTCCTGGGGAGGGGAAGGGAGCGGTCAGGGCGACCGAGACGATCGGGCGGAGCGGTGGAGACGGAGAGGTCACATGCCCGTCAACAGAAGCCTGTTTCTAAAAGGGAAATACGGCTTTTGTGCTTGTGAGGCAGACTACATGTTCCTTTATCTCAGAGGCTACAAGCACCGAAATAGAGCCCTGGTGGTGTTAGGACCACTCATCTGCAGGTGACATATGGCATTATTTTTTGAGAACTGTTCAGAGCTTACTGCGTTTGAGTCAAAGGCCTGTCCTGTCCCAGATGAATAGACTAACATGCCCAACAGCGGCCACCAAACAGGGTTTTAACATAGGCAGGAACCAGCCAGCCAAACACTTTTCTAACAAGCCACTGCGACCAACGACGGCAGCCGCAGCAGACAGCTGGCGCAACACCCCTGGCGACCCTCCCACAAGAGCACCAGAGCGACAATCTCACCATAGCACCAGAGTGTCCCTCCCACCAGAGTACCAGAGTAATCATCCCACCAGAGCACCAGAGCGACACTCCCACCAGAGCGCCAGAGCGACACTCACCAGAGCACCAGAGTAGCCCTCCCACCAGAACACCAGAGTGGCCCTCCCACCAGAGCACAGGAGCGACACTCTCACCAGAGCGCCAGAGTGACACTCCCACCAGAGCACTAGAGTGGCCCTCCCACTAGAGCACCAAAGCAGCCCTTCCACCAGAGTACCAGAGCGACACTCTCACCAGAGCGCCAGAGCGACACTCTCACCAGAGCGCCAGAGCGACCCTCCCATCGGATTAACAGAGCAACCCTCCCACCAGAGCACCAGAGCGACACTCTCACCAGAGCGCCAGAGCGACCCTCCCATCGGATTAACAGAGCAACCCTCCCACCAGAGCACCAGAGTGACACTTTCACCAGAGCGCCAGAGCGACACTCTCACCACAGCACCAGAATGGCTATCCCACCAGAACACCAGAGTGGCCCTCTCACCAAAGCACAAGAGCAATCCTCCCACCAGAGCACCAGAGTGACACTCTCACCAGAGCGCCAGAGCGACACTCTCACCACAGCACCAGTGGCCTTCCCACCAGACCACTAGAATAGTCCTCCCACTAGGGCACCAGAGCAATCCTCCCACCAGAGCACCAGAGCGATCCTCCCACCAGAGCACCAGAGCAACCCTCCCACCAGAGCACCAGAGTAGCCCTCCCATCAGAACACCAGAGCGACCCTTCCACCAGAGCACCAGGGCGACTCTCCCACCAGAGCACCAGGGCGGCCCTCCCATGAGAGTATCAGGGTGACCCCCCCACCAGCATACCAGAGCGACCTTCCCGCCAGAGCCACCCTCCCCCGACGGTCCCACCAGAGCGACCCTGCCACGTCACCCATGCAACGCTCGCTGACGGACCTGCGTCATCTTAGC